GTGTTGATACCGTGTTCTTCTGATCTGTGGTATGATTGTCTGCCTTATGTTTTCTTGGGTCCCTGTGTTGTCCTGTAGTTTTGAATGCTGCTTCTAGGGCTGCGCAGAATTCTAGTTGATTAGAATTGTCCATGTTATAGTTGGGGCCTTTCTGGAGAATATTGTGTTCTGCAGTGGATAGTGGCCGGCTAGACATGTTGATTACCCATTCTAGTTCGGGTACCTCTTTGTTTCTGGGATTTAATTTGAGTAGTTTAGTTTGAAGTTTTGTTTTTCTTTTCTCTGCTTGTCTTCGGGATGTATTCTGGATGGTGGTTGTCAGTATATTAGTATGCTCTGGGGTCATGGTCAGTTCTGGTTGTTCCTTGAGGTTGTCTATGGTATGCTGGTACTTGTTAAGTCTGCAGTGTGCATGGAACTTTGTTTTTGTACATGATAACTCCAGTGAGATTATTGTATGCAGAAAGATGGAAAGATTTGGCAATACCTACAATGGAGGAATGTTGGTGAAGATGGTGGAACTCACTGACATGGCCAAATTAACTTCTCTGATTAGAGAAAAGACAGTATCTATGTTTATTGCTGACTGGAAACCTCTTAAGGGCTTTTTATGGAAAACAAAAAAAAATGAACTTATGATTTATGGTTTTGATGATTAGACAGGATAGATTATAGAAAGAAGAGATACATGTAACTTTAGAGAAAGAGGTAAATTTATAATTGTATGTATAACTGCTATAAAGAAAACTACAGAATTCCAGATTAAAGAAGATTACAAAAGCCACTTTTTTGTATCTTTTTTCTTTCTCCTCTATTTTTCTTTTACTTCTTTTCCTTTCGCACTTTTAGCTTTCTCTTTGATTTCTTTCTTTTTCTTTTTTCTTTCTTACTTTATATTCGTTTGTATTCGTTTTTAATCTTCTTTTAAAAAACTTTTAATAAAATTGTAAAAAAAGGAAGTTGGGCAGCATATAAATTTAATATATTATTATTATTAGTAGTAGTAGTAGTAGTAGTAGTAGTAGTAAAACAGCGTTTTGTAAAGTTGCTACATGAAGAGTGACTTCTGATATTACATTTTGTTACAGTACTTGTTTTTAAGGATACTTCTCACTAGAAACTTGTGGGCTAGAAACATCCTTTTAAAATAATAATTTTTAAAAACCTGTGATTTCCAAGACAAATAATCACTGGGTTTTTCATAGAGGTCCCTTACTGTTTAAGAGACCTTTTGCAAAATGCAGCCAGCTACTGAGTTATCCTGCTCCTCCTCCCATAATAGTTTTACCAGTTTGGGAAGAAGGACATTTTTGACATTTGTGGAGCAAAATATAGAAAAGCTTGCAGTCTTTGATGTGCTGGTGTGTGTGTGTGTGTGTGTGTGTGTGAAATCTAAGTGTTAAGTTTGTTTGGTAACTAGAGATAGAATGACAGTAGCAGAGTTTTACTATGCCTTAAGTTTTCACTGCTCAGACATGTAGGAAGCAGAGAACAATATTACTGTGAAAGGTAGAACCAAGATACCGTTCCAACAAAAGTGAGGCATGGAAGAACCTTCTCAAATGTGCTGGCTTGAAGGAAATGGCGGGTTTGATTTTTATCAGAGCTGCCGGACAGGATCAGAGGGTTAACCTTCCCCTGCTGCACTGTTTCCCTCTTCCACCCCCACCCCAGGCCAGCTGCTGTAAGCTTCAAGGGAGGGGCAATAGAGGAACAGCCTTTAAAGTCTTACTGGTTCAAGGCCAACCTGCTAGACACAAATGCTCTTAGTTATTTTATCTTTAGAAGAGGAAACCTGCTCAGCAAGTCTCTTGACAGCTTCTGCAGACAGTGTTGAAACCTGCTCCTTCGCTTAAGTACTTAACAAAAGGAACACACTCATTACAAGCGCTGGCATTCAGCCAAATGTGCTTGGCTGCTGTGGTGCAGGGGAATTGACAACCGACAAAAGATGCCCAGATTCTGCCCTGTGCTAGTTCTTTTGCATGCCTTGTGAAGCATGTGCTATCTGGCACAGAAACAAAATTTAGACAAGACCCCTCTCAAGGATGGGAGGACATTGTGGATTTTAATCCCCCCCCTCAGAAAAAAAGGCTTAAAACAGAGTTTGGCTCTTTATACTGCTGTTGTTCTTCTCAATGTGGGAAAAGGCTAAATGATGCTTTACAAATGCATGAATTGTTCCTCCGTTGATCCGAGCTTCCATTATTTCTACCGTTTTGTTCTGCACCTCATGTTTCCTGAATGATGCTCACCATAGCTGCTCTCCTGCTTTGGCACTTTTTCCCTTTAAGGGTCATCATACATACCTTCATATTCATTGCTAGGTATTTATAGGTGCCTAAACAAAAAGTCAAAATGTCTATATCTAATCTTGATAGTAGCTTAACATTTAAATGATATAGAAAGGGGGAGCCGTTTGAAGATTTGTTTTGATGTTGTAATCTCCGTAGATTCCTGGTAGTTTCTATCCTAAAATAAGCATATAAAACACATTAAAATAAATCCAAAAATAATCACATAATACTATATGATAAGAACGTAGACAAAATTCAACAACAACAAAAAAATAGAAATAAAAGCACAGTTGGCAGCTATCTCTAAGTCTAACTCTAGCCATTGATCTCTGTCTCTACTCCTGTCTTTCTCAGTGTTCTAATAATGTAATTTCCATTCTGGTCAATTTCAAGCTCTTTCTGCCAGCCTCTAACATTTCCTTGTAACTTCCTATGCATTCCATTATTTTCTCACCTGTCATCAATCTATCAATATAATCCACATCTGTTCACATTCCCCTTCTCTATCCACTTCTCCTGACAGATTCCATATAACCTTCCCAATGCACTCTAAGCACCAAAACCTAAACCTTATACTCAGGGATTAGCCATCCTTTGAGAGATGCTCTTAGAAATTATGGTTTGCTGACACTTCATAGGAAGCCGATCCTCTTCTACCCTACTGCTCTTCTCAGTTTCACTTTGCCTGTGTCATATCCTGAAGCTCTTCTCATTCATGGGCAGCAGGACAATTCTGGAGCTCATTCTACTTGATGGCCCAATAAGAGTTTATTCATTTTGTGCTGGTCTCTTGAATGTGTTTGTCAGAGCCAACCTGCGCATGTCTGCTGACTGCATTTCAGTTTGTTTCAGGAGAGATTCAGTTCTTTGGGACAGTGGACAGTGCATTTCTAATGTTACCTAGCCTTTCTCTTGTAAGAGCATTTCAAGCAATGTATAATTAAATACCTTTCTGTACAGGTAACACTTTGCCTAGTCACCAAGCAGAGCAGCAATCAAATGGATTTTCTTCAGAGCTTCAGCAAGAAAATGCAGACTCTTCAAAGTGCACACAGGTAGTTAACTCAAGCCAACAAAAGATGGAGCAACTGAATGTAAGTCATCAAAGAAACTTGGGTTCACAAGCACCAGGTTCCAACATACCATCCCCAAGCCCACTGCAGTTCAGGAAACTCCCAGTGACTCCCAGGGAGGCCTGCATATCTAGAATGTTACCACTGACTCAAAACCTGGACAACCAAGTTTATGAAAGCATTGGTATTAAAGAACAGGAATTATGTACCAAGGATTGGTTGGAAGGAAGAAAGGGCTCCCAGTCGGCAGCTAATAAAAAATCAATCTGTGGCACAGCACATGGATTTGGAGCAGGGCCTGCAGAGCTTGGTGGGAAAGATTCTGAAGCTGCAGGATCCAATAGCACGCAAGCGCAGCTGTCTCCAGCTCCACAATGCCAGGAGTCATATGGCCAGTTGCAGGAAATGTTGCCTGAGAAAGAGGCCCCACCTCAGCTTGACTCTGACTCAAGGAGACTAAGTGCTATGTATGCTCGAGTGTGCAAGCGAACCAAGGCATCTCAGCCAGTGCAACCTGAAAACCACGATGAGCCTATGGAACAAGAAGAGGAAGAACCCCCACCCATTCCAGAAAAATGTTTTGAGCTCATCTATGAAAGCCTGGACATTGATAGTGAAATGCAGGTAGGGGGCTCATAGGTATATGACTTTCTAAACCTGAAGGTGCACTGTATCTTCTAATCTAAATAGGCAACTATAAGTATATTCCACCATGCAGAAAAGTCAGTTATGTACTTTCATATGGTGTTCATGAACCTCTGTGGTATACATGTGCTAGTAAAGAATTACCTGAAATGTAAGCTTTTTTTTTTTTTAACAATTCAGACTGCTACTATTTTCCATCTTCCAAAAAATCCTGGTACTAGAAATTGATTCCCTTTTCTTCCACTTCTTTAGCAAACACTTTTTCCCTTCTGACACCAATTCTGACTTCCCTGGGAAGAGGGGGTGACTGTAAAACCAGTTTATCTTTGTGATTTGTATATGATGTTCATCATGGGATAATACTGCTGAACTTATCTCAACCCCTGATTTGATGGATGTGGAAAGTGTGTTTTAGAAGAAAGAGCTGACAAGGGCTGAACAACTACTTGCATAACTGAGGGTTCTTGACTCACCTGTCTTTCATCTTGGAATTAAGGAAACAGTAGCAGGATTGTTATCAGTGGTAGGTGGAGCTTACAGCTTCATAGAAAGCAAGAGTGATCTGTACATTCAAGATGAGAAGCAGCCACTTTCAGGCTTTCCAGCAGCTTGGTGCCCTCTGTGATACAACCTCCTTTAGATGAATGTAAGTTGGACCTCTCCAAATCCGGGTCCTTTCTTGGAGTATACCCTGGGAATTATGGGTTTTATTATCCCAAACCTTCCATAATCTGTAAGCATAACCTGGGTGATGGAACTTGCAGGTAGAACATCCAAAGAGACTAGGATTGGGGAAAGTGGCTTTAAGTAACTCTAAAGCAGGGGTTTTATGTGGGATTTTACATCACCACTCAGTTATGGCTGTTCATGTTTGAATTGGAATGTTCAGAATTGTCACAAGCTCTGCCATAATTTAATTCCCACAACTCTAAAGAGGGAGTAGAAGGAGAGAGGAAAGAAATAATTTCCCAGTCTTGGAACTTACATTCACCAAACTACAACCTTGGGGTAATTGTTTTGCTCACTAAAATGAGAAACTGCAATGTACAAATGATAGGGCACATTTTGCATTCTATCAAATTATAATATTCTAAATATAACAAATCTATAGCATGATAGTATCAAATATGTATTTCATCTATTTTTAAAAATAATTTATCTTCACTTTTTGCATTGACAAAGGAATCAAGGCAGCTAACAAAATTAAAATGGACTTGAATATCAGCATCAGTAGCTTGTTTGCTTATTTATTTATACAATTTATAGGCCACCTAATTCCCAATGATCCTGGGCTGATTACAATTAAAAGTGGGGGGGGGGAACCCAGACCAAAGTATTCATGAGTGGCCCAAAAGGTGAAAGATAACCTACCCCCCATCCAACAGAGAAGGCACACCTCCAGGATCCCAGTAGACAACACTGCTTAATTGATGGGACTTGAAGCAAACCCACCCTGCCCGATCTCACTGGATGATCAGAAACAATTGGAGACCATTTGTCCTTCAAACAAGGAGGCCCTATACAATGAAGGGCTTTATGGGTGAGAATCAGGACCCACATTTGGACAAAGATAAAAAATTGGCAGTGTAGCAAAGACTCCAATCCCTGAGTCCTGAGGGCAAAACAAACAGGTAAGTGCCCAGCCCCAGCACAGAGGACAACTTTCCAGCACTAGTAAGGACTCAAGATGGACAAAACAGGCCCACAGATGTCTCCACCCAGCCTGGCAGTCCTCCCACAACACCAGAATCTCCAGCTCCTCTTCAGGAGCTCCCACTGTTCCCCTCTCTGGGCAAAAGCACCCAGGGGATAAATCAACAACCCTGGCCAAATGTCCAGACCTGGTACCAATGGGGCAGTAGAGAGTCCTCCAAGTCTCAGCTGGAATTGCACCCCACAAAGCTGGCAGTCCTGCCGCAACCAGCTAAACTCTGCCAGTTGGTGATTGGGAACCTTGCCCAGTCTTCCCAACTGCAGCCCACCTTGCGTTGAGCTGGCAGGGAAACCAAGCCATGCCCAGATTCAGGCCTTAGGCCATTCTTTCAACAGCCCACCTGCACGCTCCCTGCTGGCCACCACAAAGCAGCTGCACTCCCGGTCCAGACCCAAGGATGGTCTCTCACCATACGCTGGTTCCCACCAGCTGGTTATCTGTACCGATAGTTACTAACGAAAGAAAGGAAGCCTATACGTGCATGAGGGATCAAGCTTTATGCTTCTAGAGAATTGGTTCTTTATGGGCTTCTCTGTATATCACGGCACTCCAGCATGTTTCTGGTGGTGCTTTTGGTTTGAGCAGGATATTGTCTAGGCCTCCTAAGCTAAAGAAGGTGACCCAGATCCTGTAGTTTGAGTACTGCAGGGAAGATTGGTGATGGTCAGCTGCTTTTCAGGCAAAACTTTCTACGAGGCTGATCTTACTGCCAGTGGTGGAATGATAAAAGTTGAAATGGTGATGCTTGCATCTAGTTGAACAGATTCAATCTGGAAAACATTTGTAGTGAATGCAGACTAAATTGTATTTTAAGTAGTCCCGTGAAATAGAACAATAGGGCAGAAGTATGGCATACATGACTTAAAAGTAATTTAGATCTTGTTATTTATGAAAGTCTAGATGAGTTGAGCTTTAATAAAATTCAGCAATTCAGGCTTTGCCTAACTCCAGGCTAACTCTGGGTGGCTCACAATAAAAACAAAGTAAGAAATACAATAAAAAATAAAAAGGATGGTGAATCCAGCAGCAATGCCTATCCACACAAACATATTCAAAGGCCATCCCCCAACCACCTTGGCTCAAGGCCTGGGAAGACAGCCAGATCTTTAAAGCTTTCTGGAATTCCAACAGGGTGGGAGTCTCACAGATCTCGGGGGAGCCTCATTCCAGAGCACAGGTGGCAGGACAGGAAAGGCATGTTTCTGGGGTCCTAATAGATGGCACTCCTTGATCAAATGAACCCAGAATGCATCAACCCTGTTGGATCAAACCAGCCAGGCCAACACCTGGGGAGATAGGTGGCTCAGTTACTCCATACAGTAACCAGGCGCTGTGCCATGTAGGGCTTTGTAGGTCATAACTAGCACCTTGGATTGCACCCAGAAGTATACTGGCCACTAATGCAACTCACAAAACAGGGATGTCACATGGGCATACCCAACACTGCCTGCTCTGCTGCATTCTAGACCAGTTGAAGCTTCCAAGTGGTCTTCAAGGGTGGCCCCATGAATACTGCATTGCAGTAGACAAGCCACAAGGTGACTAGGGCATGAGTGACTATCTGAAGGTCCTACCAATCCAGGAAAATATTTTAATGCATTGAAGTTCAGCTTTCAGATTTCAACTAGCAGTGGAAATAGTCTAACAAAGGAATGCTGCCAGTTCAACAGCTAAAGTGAAGTAACTATATTAAAGAAAAGTAAATGTGCCTCCAAACTTGTTCTTTCTGTGTTTCCTCTTCCTTTTTAATTGGGGTGGGTGGCTGGGCTATCTTTCATTTAGTCTTGGTGACTGTCTGGACAGGTCCATGTAGTTTTCTTGCCAATATTCTAGAAGTGGTTTGCCACTGCCTTCTTCCCAGGGATGAAAGAGAGAGCGACTGGCCTAAAGTTACCCAGCTGGCTTTGGTCCTAAGGTGGGAGTAGAACTCGCAGTTCCAGTTTCTAGCCTGATACCTTAACCACTAGACCAATCTGGCTTTCCTGTGTAAGCTAGTAAATCGTAAAACTTGAAGCTCTTATCATCACTTCATTCATAAGCCATCCATTATTCTGGCTTACCACCATTTAAAACCACACTCCTTTCTGAAAAATGTCCTGTAGTTGCACTCCGCTGAATAATTACTCGGTGAGGTACGCCAAGTTGCCAGGAACACAATTTAAATAAAAACTGTTATTTGCTTATTCCTGCAGAGCAGGCCATAATTGTGGGGAAAGTGCTCATTTGATGAACTTTTTGTAATGTGCTGTGCCTGGAATAAAGGGCATCTGTTAGAGCAGGGTTTTTCAACCTTGGCAACTTTAAGATGTGTGGACTTTAACTCCCAGAATTCCCCAGCCGGATG